TCCCCCTCTCGCGTTCCCACTTCGCCCTCCCTCTCCGCTCTCCCCCCCCTCCTTCTCCACACTCTCTCCTCCCTCTCTGCACTCCCCCTTCCCTCAAGACCTCCCGTCTCCCGAACAGGCTCGGTTTGCGGAAGGACAGGAAAATCTATCTCCCCTTCCCCATGGCTCGCTGCCGCCTGGTCTACGGGAGGCCGACGGGGGGGAATGGGCGAGGCTTGCAGAAAGTCAGGAAGCCGCCCAGCATCGGCCGATTCTTGCCGGGGAGCGTCAGCTGCACACCCACTCGGGATCCAAGCTTGGCCAAGCTTGGGTCGGGGGGTGGTGCGCAGGCCTGCCAGGCCAAGCCAGGCGGGCGTCTTCACTGAGCCTGGGCCCATGATGATGGCCAGGAACGGCCTCGGCCATCCGTTGGCGTGCTCCTGTCTTTGCCGTTGTGAGCGCGTCTTGCCTCTGAAGGGTCTGCTTGGCTATTATCCCCTTTGGCAGCTAGGGTGGCCATGGTTGACAGCACTCCTGCTTGCTGCAGGTTCGGCATCACCCATCAGTGTGTAATCGTGGCGAGGCCTGATTCCCTTGGTGCCCGTGTCCCGCGCCAGAGCGTTGGCCACGTTCGCCAAACAGCCTTGCGTCGTACATCATCGTCGTGTGCACGCTCTGCGAGGCGATTCGTGCAGACGATCGCTGTCCGCTCCCATCTCCTGGTCCTGCAGACAAGACGCTACAGTTGTGCGCCCGGCCCCAGGGGCGACGCGCGTGCTCTGACATCTTAGAGCATGTGCTCGGCGGCGGCCACTGTCTGGCCATACCGCTCGGGCGACGACGTGCTCATAAGATGTCTGCACTTCGGGCGTGCGCCGCCGAGGAGAGCGCACGGTACCAGCGTGTCCTCCTGCATTCCACGGGCCACCAGTACGGGGCCTAGAACATATACACCACCACCACCGCCTCCCTCGCCCCCGCCCTTTCCCACGAAAGAGGAGGGGAAGAGGAGGGAGGAGGAGTGGAGGTGGTGGTGGTGGTGCATATTCCTGCGGCCCGCAACCAGCGGTGGCAGGAGGGCCCTCGCGCCCCGGGCTCCGGCCGCGGGGGCTGCTCCTCCCCCCATGGGGGTGGCGCGGGACGGCCCGGACGACCACGCCCCGCGCGGAGAGCGAACCCCGGGCCCTTTCCGCGCCGTTCAAGAGTTACGACGGGCGGTTTGGGGCATCTCCCGGGGGCGGCCAAGAAGGGGGTGATGACTAGGGGGGGGGGCGGGGGGGGCATCATGGCGGGGGCCATGGTACCTCACCAGATTTCATGGAACCACTTCTCATTTCAACACGCCCTCGGTCCCCCACCCCTGGGCCGCGCACATGCCGCCAGCCATGATTTGCGCCTGCCCCCCCTCTTGGACGCCCGACTCTTGGACGCCCCGAATATTATTCTTCTTCTTCTTCTTCTGCTTCTGCTTCTTCTATTCGGCGGCGGATCCGGCATCTACCCTCGCTGAACAGCGATTCAGGCGACTCGATGGGCGGCGGGGGTGGGTTTCGGAAGTCGTCGAACACGTGGCGAAATCCGAAGCCTACCCCCGCCTCCCATCGATTCAGGAGAATCGATGGTCGGTGGGGGTAAGGTTCGGATTTGGCCACCTATGTATTGGGGCCCTCACCAGGCCTCGGGACCGTCGAAGTACAACTCGGAATGAAATTCCGCGGGAATGGGTCCAGACCTTTGGGGGTCCCCGTCGCGCAAAAACGCGGCGTCGGGGGTCTGGGGAGCTGGCCGGCATGACCGAGTTGTGGTCTCCTTCGCTCCTGCCCTCTCCCACAGGATCAAGATCCAGAATGTCACCGGCGCATTCTTCGAGACCATCGGTGAGAAGAAGTTCAACGAGGACCAGGTCGCGCTGGTCGCAGGCACTGCGGAGGACAGAGCCGTCCTCGCGGCCCTGCCAAGGCTCCAGCACTCCTCCTCCTCCTCCTCCTCCTCCTCCTCCTCCTCCTCCTCCTCCACGCTAGTCTCCCCAGACCTGTGTGCCTCCAGGCTGCGTCAACCTTTGCTGCCGTCAGGCCAGGGTATGTTTCAGGTCCCTGCTGCCACGGCCAAGCGGTGACCAGCCTGGGCGGCCTGCGGCACCTCCAGGGGGGCCGCCGCGTGTGGCCCGTCCGCCTCTGCTGTCTGTCCCAGTCCTCGACGGGGGACATCGAGGGGCAGCGTGGGGTGCTGGGGTGCTGCTGGAGAGGTCCGCCCGGTCTCAGCAGCGCCCAGCGCCTCCGTGCGGGGGCCACTCTCGGCGACCCGCGAGGTGCCCTGCCGACGGCGCAACGGAGGCTGGTAGGCCCGCGGCCCTCGGCCTGCAATCATTTCGGTCGCAGCGCTCTCCGCCGCGGGCACATCTTCGCCGCGCTCGGCGGGGGGCAACGCTCCGTGTCTTCGTCCCACAGGTGCCCACTCCAAACCCCATGCGCCATGTTGGCGGGTTTGTGTAGGACGGTCCCTGGTTTCCGCTTCTTTCGTTTTGGTTTCACCCCCAAGGCTCAGCGTTGTTGGCGATTCGGGGGGTTAGCCAGGAAATGGAAGCCAGAGGTCGAGTCCCAGCCTGGACTTGTTAACCCCTTTTGACAAGTGTGCCGTTTGTTGGCCAGCTCGGCCTGGGCACGTTGGCCCGCGCTCGCTAAGCGCCACGGTTTCTGTTCTGCCGTTTGGGCCTGCGACGCTCATTTCCTGCTCCAAACTGTTCCTCCTCTTCTCCTGCTCTCATGATCCTCTCCTCCCCTCCTCCTCCTCTTCCTCGTCCACTCCTTCTCCTTCTAGATAACTTCTCCCTGTCGCACCCGAGGTCACTTTTTAGGGCGGGCCGGGCGTTTCGCCTGAGACTTCCTCACTGTTTAGGATTCTGAAGCTGAGAAATTGATGACGGATTCGCTGATGGAGGGCGGGTGGTTTTCAAAATGTAGCTCTCGCCTTAGCGCCGCGCACATGTGCTTTAACATGCTGTAAGAGCTTCACATATTGAGGGCGAGTGGTTTTCAAGGTGTGGTTCAAGTTTTAGCGCCGCGCACGCTCGTTGTAAACACTGCAATAGTTTCGCGGGTTGAGGGCAGCTCCATTGCCACGCACATTCATTTTCAACATTCATCAGAGTCTCAAGGTTTGAGGGCGAGTGGTTTTCAACATGTGGCTCTCGCCTTAGCGCTAGCGCCGCACACAGTCGGTTTAAACCATTGCACGAGTTTCTCGGATTCCCATGATCAACGTGCCAAAGGATTCAGGCTTATGAGGGTGCACAAGTTACGTTGATTCGCGGTGTTCAAGTCCCACGACTGGCGTTCTGAGGCGATTCCGGATCGTTTAGACGCAGAAGTTAGGTTGATCCATGGCGTTGGAATCCCGAGAACAATGTTTTGGCATGCTTCAGGGTCCTCAAACAGTTGCCTTCCAACGAGGCAGTTCCCTCAGTACAAACGAACCGTCCTAAGGACATATGAAGAGGGAGCTTGGAGGGAGGGAGGGAGGGTGTATTACAACATCGTTGATGACGCTTGGGTTTACACTGGCCCTCCTCCTCCTCCTTCTCCTCTTACCGCTTACCGTTCCATGCGCATCGATCCTCTTACAGGTAGCGCTGTGGCAGTGCCACTTATCTGATCACCTCACTGGGGGGTTCCAGATCATCTGGCTGGGGCCACTCTTTATACTCAGGTAGGAGCCTACTATCCTCTAGGGCTCTGATGGCCCTCTCCCCATGCTTCGTGATGGGCTGCGAGGCGTTGCAGGGTTTCCCCTATTTGCAGAAACTCTGGGCCCCGAGCCCTCCACACACTCTGCACCAGAAGAAACCACGGAAACGCATGAGCTTGTGGGAGGGGTCGAGCCTCATCGGGACGCCTCGACACGGGGTTCCTAACCACTGGAGCTTGGGGCAAGCTGCCGTGGGGCGCCCGTGGCAAAGCAGACAGTGCACACCTCGGGCGCCGTGCGCCAGGCGGTGCTGGGTCGAGACTGCGGCAGCCTGTTCGCTATCCCTCCGGCCCTCCGCCCGCACCTTGGCCTCTCGCTGTCGATCTTGCCTCGAGGAGGCCCCATAAATCTCTGGGGCCCGCGAGGCGATGTGACTGGCAATCTTAAGCAGGCGTGCGTGCACCGAGCTGGCCAATGCATCAATCCGTTGGACTGCGGCTATGTCCAAGGCTGGAAGCTGCGCTGCACGAGCCCCTTCTTCCGCACAAGCGTCGGCACATTGGTTGGCCTGCCAATGCTGGGGGTCTACTTCGGCCCTCTGAGCCTCTTCGAGGGTCAGGTGGGATTTGATTTTGTGCACCGCAATCTGCCTGCCACTCGCCACGCTCCAAAAACTCGGCCCACAGCTTTTTTGTTGGACTCATGGGGGGCCAGTGGGCCTGTGCTGATTCCTGAGACAACACTTTGCGCATCTACAACTTGCACAATTTGGCCTGACGTCATTCTGAGTGCCTGTGTTGCCGCTATTAACTCCGAGATCGGGACGGTTTGCTTCCAGTGGTCGATTGGGCCACGTGCCCACGCCACGAGCTCCCATCCCCTGACAATTGCAGAACCCCACCGGCATCGACGCAGGCGGTAGTCATCATTGTGGAATCATATGGTTCCCTCTCGTCCTGACTATCCGTGCTTTTCTGTGTTTGTGTCTGTTGTATGCTTGCTTGTGCACAGCGCCGTGACTGACGCTTTGGCTCAAGCCATTCTGTGTGCGTTGAGTGCAAAGGCATCCCTTTCAGTACATCTTGCGATGGCCGCCTGAACCCGTCGTGCCCACAGTGGTAGCGGAGCGTGGTTCACCGAACGACTTCCGGAAGCGAGGCCCAGGGCGGGTGCGCAGCTGGAGGACGGTTCACAGATCTACGGCAGGGCGAGGGCGACCTACGAGGGTGCAAGTACTGAAGACGGGTGATGAGTCACTCGAGCGCAGCTGCCTCAGCTAGCAGAGGTGCTCTTGTTAGCCCTCGAGGCGGCAGGGAAGGGCTGACAGACGCAGACATCGACAAGATTGCAGGCAGAGTGGCCCAGATGATACGGCTGGGCACAGGGGCTGCGCCGGCCTCGGCGCCACCTGAGGGCGCACCTAACCTCCAGGGGCTCGCCGGTCAAGATCAGAGCGCGGCTCCATCTCACGAAGCAGGCTGGAGCGTGGTCGACGACCCCTGGACGGAGCACGATCCGTGGCGAGAAGAGTGGAGAGCGAAGGATGCGCGGGCAGAAGAGGACAAGCTAACACCACCATCCATGAGGGCATCAGACACCTGGAAGGAGTGGAGAGACAGACCCGGGCGACAACAGACCTGGGATCAAGACTACTCGTGGCAGAGCTGGGGTAGTCAAGGCAGCACGTGGCAGCACGACCGCGGCTGGTGGCAGGGCCAGTGGACCCAACCCAGGCCAGCACCATCCTGGCCAGGCTGGGAGAGATTCAGGCTGTGGAAGCAGTACGTGCAGCGCTGGAAGAACGGCCTGAACTTGAGCGAGGCTCAGGCAGCAGACAGACTGCTAGAGATCCTGCCCTGGGAGATCCGGGCGACCCTCGAGGACGTCCCGGATAGCGAGCTGACGGTCGAGCTCATACTGAAGAGGATGGGCCTCAAGTCCGGTGAGCGCGAGGACGACGACCTCTACCGGACGGGCAGCGAGGCCATGCAGGACACGGAGAGGAAGAAGGATGAGGACCTGCACACCTTCGCAGAGCGACGCCGACGCCAATTTGACAAGGCGAAGAGCATCGGGATGGAGATCCCACAGAAGATCCAGGGCATGCTGCTGATGCAAGGAGCTCGTCTCAACGAGCAGGGCAGACAGAACCTCAAGAGCCTGACGAAGGGCTCGATGCTAGGCGAGGACATCCTCTGGGCGCTGCCCAAGCTGGACACCGGAGGAAAGATCTGGAGCGACGGCAAGCAATCATCACTATTGAGTATGGGACCGGAGGAGGCACTGCCAACTCCCGAGGTCCAGCGGGCAGAGACCGGGCCGGTCGAGGAGCCGATCTACGAGTGGTCGTACTGGGCCGACGAGCTGGACTCGGAGGACGAGGCCATGGTTCTCGTCGAGCTCTCCGAGAAGGGCCTCGCGGAGCCAGAGGTGGTCGAGACCTTGGCACAGATCGGCAAGACCAAGAAGACGTGGAAGGAGAACCAGCAGCTGAAGACTGCGCTCAAGCGGGATCGGGGCTTCTGGAAGAAGAAGCGCCGGCTCACCCCAACACAGCTGAAGTTGATCACGAAGTGCGGCAACTGTGGAGAAGTAGGGCACTGGCACAAAGAGTGCAAGAATCCTCATCGTCCCAGAGAGCGAGATGGCAAGGGCAAATCTCGGTCTGGAGGGGCCGAGATCGAGGCCTTCACGTTCACAGCGATCGGCGCGGGCGACGACCAGGACTTCAACATCGACGGCATCACGGTCCTGGGCAGGGAGGTGCTGGCGACCCTCAGGGAGATCGTCAGCTCGGAGACTACGGAGCTCTCGCTGCTGATTCTCGAGGGCGGCCTGATCATCGTGGACAGCGGTGCCTCTCAGGCTATCATAGGCCGCCGGGCTTTGAAGGAGCTCGAGGGAGATCTGCAGCAACGAGGCCTGCGGATCAACTGGATCGAGAAGAGCGTCCAGACACCTCGGGGTATCGGCGGATCGGCCACGCTGGTCGGAGTCGCCGTGGTGCCCATCTCCATCGGTGGCAAGAGCGGGACCATCGAGTTCGTGGTGACGAAGGAGGACCTGCCGCCACTCTTACCAGGCGGGTTTCTCGAGCAGTTCGGCGCTGCGCTGGACTACGAGAAGGAACTTCTCATTTTGAAGAAGTTGGACTGTGAGACTGAGCTCCACCGGATCGGGAAGAACCATCGGGGGATCTACATCAACGACTGGCGCGGGACGGAGAGCAGCTTCTCTCCCAGCTCGCGTGCCTTGCCAGCTGGACTCAGCTCGGACGCCTTCCGAGCCCCGACTGAAAAAGAAGACGTACTCTCTTGGAAGGATCCCTCCAGGCCTCAGAAGGAGAGAAACGACCCCACAGGAGCCCCCGCACCTCAGAGAGATCCCGGGAGCCTGCATACCGACTACAGCAGTTCGAAACCAGTGATGCCTTCCTCCAACCACGACTCCCGCCACATCTCCAACCCTGTAGCTGATCTGGCTCAAACATCGAGCCAGGCACAACCACCAAGCTCACCGCGAGATCCGCCTCAAGTCGATGCGGGACCGCCCAGACTTGGACATCTCAGAGAGGGTCAAGATCCAGTGGATCAGGCTGCTGCATGCCGGACTGATGTGGACACAGACCCTCATGGACAAGTTCTTTGCTCTGAACAGGCGCGGGAGACTCTTCCCGGGAAAGGAGCTCCGTCGGAGGATGGTGGAGGACCCCAGGCTGGTGAACGACCTCTACGAGTACCGGGTTCCGATGACGGCTCCCTTGGCGGACGGGTCGGTGCCTTGGACGCTCTGTGTGCACCGCCCCAGGTGGTTCGTGACCTCCCACAACCAGTACGGGAACTGGGAGCAGTGCAACAAGTGCAAGGTGAGGACGTCCTATCGAGAGATCGGGCACCGCGGGGACGGCCACCGACAGATGACGGCATCGGAGATGAGGAAGCTCAAGCAGCAGCTCCCGCGCGACGTCAGGCCCCTGAGCTCGGCAGGCTCGGCGATGCGGGAGGGCGCAGCTCCGGCTCCGAGTCGACGCGTGGCGTCGGCGCCGAACGACGAGAACACCTGGTCGAGCTTCAACCAGGAGCCCCCGCCACCGTGGGCATCAGAGATGGTGCGAGGCCTGTCGGCAGCAGTGGCCGAGGCGATGGCGGCATCCACGGGGCCGATGACAGCAGCGATACGCGAGCAGTCCGTGACGCTCTCGCACATGGTGGCCACGATGCAGCAGATGGCGTCAGAGTCTCCAGCAGCAGGCGGGAGTGCGGACTCCAGCTCGCCGACACCGCCAACCGGTCCGCCACCGACGACCACCGGGGTATTGCCAAACCTCGGGTTCACCATGGTGGAGGAGGTCCCGGCGGACACCGACATGAGGGGCAACTGAGAGAGAGCGGCGTGCTGCGGCTACTTGGCGACAAGTCTCGACAGGAGTGCTGGCTTCGAATCCCTACCTCTCGCAGCTTACACAGAGAGGCCAGCGCTGTTCTGGAGCAGGCCAGGGCCAACGGCCGGTGCTACCGGATCGATCAGGAGGCTTTGGAGAAAAGCGAAGGCCCTCTATCTTCTCCCTCATCCCGTCTCAATCTCCCCTCTGTTCCTGCCTGGCAGTGTGAGTCCGACGACGGGCGATACCGACTCTGGGTCAGCACCTACACATCCACCTATCAGGGTAGACCCAACTCTACCGAAGGCGGGTCTGCGGGTGCGGGGTCCTACTACGTTGTCCCTCTCCAGAGCTACCTGTCTATCACGACGCTACGCGGCTCCGAGCTACATCACGACTCCGACGACACGCTAGCTAATCTAACGGGCCTGGACAACTACACTCACCAGTTCAAGGTTGACCAGAGGAGTAAGCGTCGTCTTCGTCAGAGTCTCCGAGGTCTTGGAAGAGTATCGGGATCCGACTCCTGGGGATACGAGTTTGTTGAAGTTTTCTCACCTCCTCGCACGGCAAAGGTCTCCTCTCAGCTGGGCTCCAGGGGCTCACCGACTGGTGGCAGCTTAGACTTAACCACGGGCTGGGATTTCCGACGTACGGATCACCGGGAGCTAGGAAAGCGGTTGATCAAGAAGTGGCGTCCATGGTTGGTATTTCTCAGTCCTCCCTGCACTGAATTCGCCGCCATCAACGCAGTCAACGATGAGCGGCGAGATCCGATCGAGATGGCCCGAGCGCGTGGAGAAGCATTGGACCTGTGGGCGTATGCGATGGAGATAATCGAGCTTCAGATCTCGGGCGGTCGCAAGTTCGCTCTGGAACAACCTACTACTGCGACCTCTTGGGCTCTTCCCAGTACTCAGAGGCTTCTGGAGCTCCCGGGCGTATCCAGGATCACGTTTGACATGTGCAGGTTTGGGCTCTCGGTTAGGCCTGGCACGATTTCCAAGAAGCCAACCACTGTGGTCTCCAACGACTGTGAAGTTTACAGGGCTCTCTTGGGAAAACGGTGTGCCGGGGACCACGGACATTTGGTGCTGGAGGGAGGCGGTCTGCCACGACGCGCGGCATGCTATCCTACTAAGTTCTGCAAGACCATAGCCCACGCGGTTCACCGATCCGCAGAGCTTCAGCAGCTGGGAACCGACGAGAGCTTTCCGAGCGGGGTGCTGGCGACTCGTCGACAGGAACGACCGACCCAGTCTCAGGTGGAGGGCCACGAGCAGGACAACTCTGAGGACGAGGAGGAGGAGGATGAGCAGCAGCAGCAGCAGGACTGCCCGTTGACTCAGGAGCAGATTCGGCAGGTGGAGAAGGCACATATTAATCTTGGTCATCCCACCAAGAGAGACCTGCTTCGTATCCTTCGGTGTGCTCACGCTCGGCCAGAGATACTGCGCTACGTTCAGCATCACTTTGTGTGCCAGTCATGCGAGAGTGCCGGCAAGTCGATTCCTCAGCGAAAGGCAACAGTTGCTCGGACATTCTCATTCAACAAGCTGATTGGAGTAGACCTGTTCTTTGCGACATATCAGCACCGGGAGTACACGTTTCTGAATGCCGTATGCCTGGGGACCTCGCTACAGTGGGTAGGGATTGTGGGACCCGGGAGATGTTCGCAGCCAGCAGCAGTGTGGAAAGCCTTCTCACGGGGGTGGATCCGACATTACGGACCTCCAGAGGTCCTTATATCCGACGGCGGGAAGGAATTCGAGGCTGAGTTTAGCAGACACTTGGAGCAACAAGGGGTGTTCCAGCACACCACCGACGCAGACAGCCCTTGGCAGAACGGGAAGACAGAGCGGGCGGGTCAATGGTTGAAGGAGCGGCTCCAGCGGTTCGTGGACGATGCCATCCTGGAGGGACCCGACGACCTAGAGCTGGCGGCCTGTGAATTGGCTGCCTGGCGGAATCGTTTCCTGAATCGAGGCGGGTATTCACCACTACAGCTAGTATTTGGGCAAAACCCCAGGGTACCACAGGAGTTGCTCAGCGAGGACCCGTTAGACCACATAGGACTTCACGATCTCGAGGAACCGAGCGCCGACCTCGACAGTGCGGCGGCAGCTTTCCGACATCAACACGAGATCCGGTCTCGTGCCCGACAGCTTGCGATGGAAGGAGATGCGCGTAGGAAGTTGCAGCATGCGTTGGGATCAGCGTGGCACAGGGACAGGACCTACCGACCAGGGGATTGGTATACATCTGGAGGCGAGCGCCCAAGACAGGGCGCAAACCATACGGTTTGCAACGGGATCGGTGGGTTGGGCCAGGTGCAGTGATATTTCATCATGGAACAACAGTGTGGGTGTGTGTGCGCAGTCGTTTGTGGAAATGCAGTTGTGAACAGATACGACCTGCTACGCAGTCAGAGTCCCTCGGGGCCGAGCTTATCCAGACCACGTGCTATCGGGACGTCTTGGACGAGCAGCTTGCTAAGGGGATCTCGGGAGGGGCTCTAGACGTTGCTCAAGAGGGACCACCACCACCAGAGGCCACCATGACTCCCATCAGCTCCGAGGGTAACGCGTCTCCCGTGACCATAGCACCAGCAGGCTCCAACGAGGTTCCAGGCCACCAAGGGGGCTCTCGGGACTCCAACATGGGCTCCAACAACATCGAGGCTCCAGAGGTCCCTACTCCAGCTCCCGACTCCAGCTCCCACCCCACTCCAGCTCCGACTCCGGCTGTCGCAGGTACTGTGGCTCAAGCAGTTGCTGAGCCTCCTGCGCCGCCACCGGGACTGCGACCTCCGACCCAGGCTGCCGGCGTGAGACCTAGACCGCGACTCGTCTGGGCTCCCGGTCCAGTGACTCGTCTGATACCTGTGCCAGAGCACGAGGAGTCAGATCCTGCTCCAGCGGACCCGGCAGGAGCTCTCGGACAGGGCGGTGCTGTCTCAGCCGCAGCCGGACCTCAGAGGGAGCCAGCCGCCGAGCCAACACCTCCTGTGTCTCAGACTGGCTCGACACCTGCCGGATCGGAGACAGGCTCACAGGCGGTGGCCACAGCTGGCGGCTCGCGGGCTTCGTCGAGACGACCTTCTCTGTCCGAGGACGACCTGGAGATCAAGCGAGCCAGGCTGGATCCTGACACACTCCGGTCCGCGACCGGAGGGGCTCCTACCGACGAACAGCTCAGGGGTTCTGGCCTACCGACACCCATGGAGCTCTTGCCAAGGGCCGAGGGTCGGGTTCGCACCCAAATCCAGGAGTTCGAGAACTGGCGGTCTCAGCAGAGCAGCGCTGCAGCCTCTTCTCAGGCCGGGCCCCTGGAGACGGGGTCGGAGACCCCGATGGACGAGACCGGCTTCAGCGCTCTCGAGGGCTACTGCAAGGTGCTGGACTCTTGGTTCGAGGACTCCGGCTGGAGCGGGGACGTCGAGACCTACATGAACGGCCGGAAGGATCTGATCTTCGAGTGCTCAGAGGACAGCGCCGGGCAGTGGTCTCTGCTCTCCTCACGCGGTGGGGAGGTCAAGCTCAAGGATCTCTCGGCCCAGGAGCTCGAGGATTTCCGACGATCGGACGAGGCCGAGTGGGGCGTACTCAACAAGCCTAACGTGCTGCGGATCCTCAGCAAGGAGGAGTCCACTCATGTGCTTCGCACCCGGCCAGAGCGGGTGCTATCGTCCAGGATGGTACGACGATGGAAGGCCCAGGAGGGTACGTTTAGTGCCCCAAAGGCCAAGAGCAGATGGTGCGTGCACGGTTTTGCAGATCCTGACACTGAGCATCTAGTGACGTATTCTCCTACGCCTCAGTCCGAGGCCATGATGCTTTTCGGGCTGGTACTCTTGGGCCATGGCATGGACCAGAGTATAGTGGACTGCAAGAACGCATTCAGTCAGTCGAGGCGACTCCGCAGGGCTGGTGGACCCATCTACGTGGCTCCCTGTGAGGGGCTCACTGGCATTCACGTTCCCGACGGGTGCCTTATTGAGCTACATGTCGCCGTCTATGGTCTAGACGACGCCCCTTGGGAATGGCACGCCACGATCACCTCCTACCTACGCGACCTTGGCTTCAAGAAGTTGCTGATGGAGCCATGCTACTGGACTCTCCGGGAGCAGGGCGCCCTGAAGGCTCAGGTCCTGATAGAGGTGGACGACCTTTGGCTGGGTACAGTTGCCTCCCACACGAGGTGGTTGGCCGACTCTCTCAAGGCCAGGTTCACCTTCGGCAAGTGGAGAGGCGACGAGGCCGAGTTTGCAGGACGCCGCATCAGGAAGGAGGCTCACCGCATTCGCCTGGACCAGGAGAAGTACATATTGGAGGAGATTCATCCGATTGTCTTGGAGAAGGGCCGCCGCTCCAAGAGACAAGAGCCTCTGAGCCGCTCAGAGTTCGAGCAGCTCCGATCCGGCATCTACCGGATCAACTGGGTGGCGAAGGAGACCCGTCCCGAGGTGGCGGGTACGGCTTCCATACTCGCCAGCAAGCTGGAGCAGGCGGTGGTGGAGGACATCGTTGTTTTCAATCGGGCCGTCCAGATGCTGCGTGACACCGCCTCGCAGTACCTGACCATCTGGCGCCACGACCTATCGCAGGTGGTGAGTTTTACTTTGAGCGACGCGGCGGGGATTGGCACGGACTCACCCATACAGTGTGCCTGGGCTGTGGGAGTGGCTGACCCTCAGCTGGCCGCCGGACTGACCAGCAAGGTGACGATGCTTTCCTGGAGATCCTCCAAGATGCGTCGAGCTGCCAACTCATCCCTGGCCGGTGAGGCCAACTCTCTCTGCCAGTCTCTTGGAGAAGCCGACTGGATCCAGCTGCTACTTCGTGACGTTTGCTTTGGGGACGTTCCTACTGCCGACTGGCGACAGCACGCAGGCCCCTACGTGTCGGTGTTACGTGACAACTGCGAGTTGCACCGACCCCTGCCTGGAGTTCATGCCACGGACGCCAAGTCCATCTTCGACTGTCTCTCCAAGAACTGTGCTGGCCGGAAGGAGGACCGCAGGACTTCCGTGGACCTCGCAATTGCTCGTGACTCTTTCTCCCAGCGGGGCTCGTGCGTGAAGTGGTTTCCTCACCTGCTCAATCCCACTGATGTGATGACCAAGGCTGATGTGTCCAAGGGGTCCGATGCCATGGGTCACATGATTCGCCGTGGGACTTTGACGTTGAGTGATGCTGAGTCGGAGAGGGCTCACCTCTTGGCCGGTGGTGAGAAGGGCCGGCGCAGTCGAGAGGCCAGCCGCCGCTATCTACAGGATCGCGAGCGCCGCCTCGAGGAGTCAGGTCGACAGTAAGTGGGGGGAGCTGTGGAATCATATGGCTCCCTCTCGTCCTGACTATCCGTGCTTTTCTGTGTTTGTGTCTGTTGTATGCTTGCTTGTGCACAGCGCCGTGACTGACGCTTTGGCTCAAGCCATTCTGTGTGCGTTGAGTGCAAAGGCATCCCTTTCAGTACATCTTGCGATGGCCGCCTGAACCCGTCGTGCCCACAATCATGATACGTCCCCCCCGACCCGTCCGTCGCCACCACCATCCCATCGAAAAGTGGGCAAACTGGCGCGCTGCCAAGGGTGCCTCCTACTTAAATGCCCCCCTGGATCGGGCGCGTGTCGTGCGGGTATGTCCATAAAACAGGGACCAGACCCCTGAGCCAGAAACACGGGGCCTCATGTACTTCTAGCTGGGCCGGGTGTTCAAGCTCCTGCGAGACTCCTTCGATGTCCGCGTTGCACGGGCACTCCCAAAATTGGTGGAAGAGGGTCTCCTGGCCGCCTGGCATCTGGGACACTGGGGGCTGCTCCACGTGGGTCTTCTATGGGTTTCCTGCTCGGGCTCTTCTACGGGCGACTCGGGTGGCCCCTCCCATGCCAACGCCTCCTCCTCCTGGGCCTGCCTGAGCATGTCCTCAAAACTGTCGCCCTCCGCCTCCAGCTCCTCCTCCTGGGCTCCTGATTGGGCTCCTGGGGGGGCTGTCTGGGGCGGCTGCTCTCTGCTGGTCTCAGGAGGTGGGGCCACGGGGGGTCTCGCCGCTTCGTCGCCGAAGCGACGGCTGGCTGGCCGCGGCGCGCCTGCCATGACCATCCGAAAAACTACCAATTCATCAGACTTGGCTTTTTCTTGGTGTTGCCTCATCCTCGCATGATGAGTGAACAGATCTGGGCCGAACTCGAGTCCTTTGCCCTGGTAGCGCCGTGCCGCCGCCAACCAAGCATGCTGGTCGAGGGCGCTGTAGCATTCAAATTCGAGCACTCGCTCGGGGTCATCATTATATATATATATATATATATATATATATATATACATATATATCCTCAGCGTCCTGGTCGCGCCGCAGCCATGGAGAGGGGGCCTGGAATCCAAGGTCTAGCAGCGCGGCCACCGTCGCCGCGAGAGCGCCCTTGACTTTATTACACTTGCTGCTGGCTGCCTGGAGTTCCCTCCAGGCCTTGCTCCGCGCAAGCCCGAGCGCGGCGCCCCTGCCAGCACGCAGGCGAGGGGGGAGTGCCAGCCATCCCTCACAAACATTGACGGCCAAACACAATTGGGCCCTGGTGTGCCGTTGGGAAGGCGACCCTGATCGTCGTCGTCGCGCACCCTCCTTCCTTGCGGCCTATCATTCCCGATGCGTGCGCCCTGAGCCTCAGCGAGACCGTCGGCGCCACCCCTTGGGCCTCCAGGCCCCAGGTGGCTTGGGGCAAAAAACCCATCTTGGCCAGTGAGACTGCTTTGCGCGTTGACCTGACTACCTGCCCGATCATTTGGCCTCTGGTCTCGCTGGCCTGCATTCGCTTGCTGGCGATCCTCGTCACTCGACGGTGGGCCGCGCCATCAACTCCGAGGTCCTTGACAAACTGGCTCGGCTCGCCTTAAGTGTTATGCCCGCCTGCTGTAGCCTGGCCGGCGCAGCCTTGGCTATTCGCGGCGGGTTGGAGACTGACGTACTCTTGACCGACCCTCCTCCTCCTCCACCTCCTCCTCCTCCTCCTCCTGGTGTGCCCGCCCACCGCTGGCGAACCACTGGAAGCACGTCGACTCCATGATCGCGGCGGCCTGCGACGACGACGCGCCCCAGTGCTGTTGGGACGAGGTGCTCCGAAGTTTGGAGGCTGCGCTGCTGGACCGAGCCGGCATCATGGACGACCAGACCCGCCGACGGCATGAAGGCCGCGCTGGGCCGCCTGAGACGGCATGGGTACGGCTGCGATGGGGGCCGCCACACCGTTGCGCACGGCCCCCTCCCCAGGTGCACGCCTGGGCCTCCTTGGCGCGCCGGGCCAAGCATGTGCTGCGGTCGCGAACGCATATGGCCAGGTTGACGCAGCTCTACGTGAAGGATCCCGTCCAACGCGCTGCGGGCACGGCCAAGAACTTCGCAGAGCTCTGCAGGTTCTTCCAGCGCACTGCCAAGGCCAAGCACGTATGGGAGTACGCTATCATCCAGGTGCGCGACATCTTCGCCAAGGGCATCTTGCTGCTGGTCGGGCCCAACCTGGAGGTCTCGATGGTGCTGATCGTGACAATCTACAATGACCATTTCGCCATTCATGCTCGGATTACCTCGGCTCGGTGGCGGGCATGGGTCCAAGAGGCGTTCGAGAACGGCGCTGGTGGCGCCCACCTTGCAACCGAGGTCCAGGACAGGCTCGAGCCCATGAGCTCCTTCGGGCAGGACGAGAGCATGCTGGACCCCAGGGCTGGCCTGGCCATGGACGAGTGGGAGGTCATCTGGACCAGTGGTGATGCCCGATGGGTTTCCCTGCCAGGTGATGCTCACCTGTGGCCTGCGCTGCCGTCGTTGGATGGGCAGCAGATCCGCTATGCCACCCTCGCCTTCAGCAAGAAGACGGCTGCAGGGCATGGCAGGATGCATCCGCGTGACCTTTGGCACATGTCTAGCCAGGCGTTCGACACTTTGGCAGCGCTCTTTATGAGGTGCGAGGACCTCCTCTCCGGGCCGTCGGACCGCATCGTCAACGCGATGGTCAGGGTCACCAGGGAGGACGGCGGCTCGAGGCTCATCGCCCTGGTCTCGACTTTAGTCCGCCTCTGGGCTCGCGCCCGACGTCCGCTGTCCAGACACTGGATCAAGCAGCGCAGGCACTCCTCCATCTTCGGGCAATCGAAAGGGTGCTCGTCCATCGACTCCGCCTGCAGCCACAACTTGGATGCTGATATTTCGCACCTCCTGGGCCAGTCCAGCCTGGCGGTTGCCCTGGTCTTGCACAAAGCCTTCGGTAGCGCGTTGCTGGGCGCCCCGCTCCAGGAGGCTCGGGCGTGTGACTTCCCACTGAGGTTGGTCTGGCAGCTGCCCGCCTACTCCAGGATGCCTAGGACCATTCGGGCGCATGGCTGTTGGTCGCGGCAGGTGTGCGTTAGCCAGAGCATCTTGGCGGGCTGCACGCATGGCGCAGGGTTGCTCAAGGTGCTCCTGTTTCGCTCCATCACGAAGCTCTGGAGCATGTCCGATGAGGTTCTTCGGCCACGTGCACTGATGGGCGACCTCACTATGCAGTGGACTGGGCAGCATGTTCAAGCTGGTGCCCGTGCGCTCAAGGCTGCCTTTCTGGGCATCGTGGAGGATGTGGAGCCGCTGGGCATGACCATCAAGCTCGACAAGTCGGGCTGGCTTGGCACCGCTAGCGCTGCAGTTCGTGGGTTCTCGAGGGCGGCCCGCACCTTGCAGCTGCCCCAGCGGAGGGGCGCGCGCAACCTGGGCCATGACGCCCGCGGGCGAGGAGTGGCGGGGACGGTGGTCAATCGCCACCTCGCCAAGCTTGGAGATCGCCAGCCGCGCGTGCTGGCGCTGCGCCGAGCTGCTGGAGACCGCGCCCAGGCCCTGTGGCGGACGGGGCTGCCCCCCTCTGCAGGCCATGGGGCGGCGGTTGCAGGGGCCACGGATGAGCAGCCTGGGTCGCTGCGGCACTCGGCGGTCTCGTTGTGCCCCGGCAAAGGCGGGGTGTACTGCGGCTTTGCCGCGATCTATCTGGCCACCCAGCGGGGCCCGCACATGGATCCCGTCTTCGACGTGACGATCGCTCTCGTGGCCCGCCACTGCGCCCACGTCTCGGACGGCAAGCTCGCTCTGAGCCAACTCCAATGAGCATGGCGGGCGCTGGCCGACAGCTGACAGGCGGGGGGTCCGAGATGGCATGGTGCCCGCGGGCCCCTCGCCGCCGCGTGGCTGAGCCTTCGCAGGGTTGATTGCGACATGCGCTCGAGCCTGCAACCATGCGCCGACTTGGGGGGGCGATCCACATCTTGACGGCGCCGCCGAAAGTCATCGGGCACGTGCTGGGAGCGGGCATCCAGCGCTGGCAGGGGCGGCGCATCCTGGCCCACCATGAGGAGTGCCCGCCGACCTCCTCGGCGCCGCTTTGGATGCGGGCCGTCCGCAAGTGTCTCGCTCCCCCTCGCGCCGCTGTGCGAGGCGCGCGGGCTGGGCAGCTGCGCGAGCTATGGTCTGGCGCGGCCTGGGATCCCGCCAAGCGATGGCAGCTGGGATATCTCCCCAGCCCTGACTGCCCCTTCTGCGAGGGGCCCCCCACGTGCACTCGCGGACGTCAGTTCTACGAGTGCCCAACCATCCTGGGGACGGGCTCGCGGGGGGACTCCTCGGGCATCGAGCCAGTCTCTGAGCAGGCTGCCAAGTTGCGCACCAGGCTCAAGGAGAGGGTCCACATCGGGGCTGGCAACCAGGACTACGACAGGTTCGACGTCGTCACGGGCATCCCGCAGATGCCCTACGGGGACCCCGCTGCCGAGCGGGCCCAGGACTGCCATTGGTGAGGCGACTGGTCCTCAGATGAAAGCTCCAGGACCACCATCGTGAACCACGACGGGTCGGGCTTCGAGACGGCTTGGCCAGATTTAATGAGGTGTGGGTGGGCCTGCGCGCAGGTGAGTGACGGCCTTCCGCTTCGCGCGGCATTTGGAGCGCTGCCGGGCGCGCGCCAGACAGTCGGACGCGCTGAACGCCGCGCGCTGCACCAGGCCCCGCTGCACATGCCGCATCGCGGTTACTGACTTGGCGGCTTTGGCGCGCGAGATCGACGATTGGAGTGAGGACCGGGCGGCCTCGGGCAGCGAGCGCGCGGACATCTGGAGGGCCATCTTCGCGCTCACGGATATGCATGTGGGGGCTAGGCGCCGCAGGCCAGCGGCGCGCTGGTGCCCTGCGCACCTCGACCTCGAGATGTTTCTCGGCCAGCCCGAACAGTTCGCCGAGGATTTTTATGACAACGAGTGGGCTGACTTCTCCGCCAATGTGGGAGCTCGCCTGCACAGATTGCCAGAC